TTCTAGACTGACTGTCTAGGAAGAGTGTAATTTATATTTTCTGGATCCATTATTTTCTATAAGGTCGGTACTATCTTGGATACTCAAACTTATCACCACCATTTTAGTAGGCTTTATTATTCATAAAGTAACAGAAAGCAACTAATATTAGCTATTAACTTTAAACACATCACAGTTGTAACATAATTGATAGCAATATGAAGTTTTATAAAGAATCGTGGACATAACTGAGCTCCATAGACTTTTCTGGGTCCCACTTTTCTCGTGTATAGTGTCAGAATGGTTCATGTTGTACCTACTTTACAATGACATTGTGACGATCAAGTATGTAGAGAATACCCTGTCTGAGTACCTACATAGTCTCCTCTCCCATAGGAGAGGCAAAAAGGCCTGAGATTTACCCTTAACCCCTTCCCCTAGTGGTCCAATAACTCACTTGTGTGTGAGTACAAAGTCCAGTTCCTTTCCCCTGAAGCTGAACAAATCTTGAGGTGTTACTTATGCTCCAGAGCTTTCCCTGGATTGGGCTGAGACTGGAACTTACCTGGAATCACACCATTGCTTGAATCCTTTCTTCTCCATGTCTTACTTTACCCACTCCTTTGCTGAATTCTTCTATGAGCTTTCTTAAATTATGAATCTCTTTGCAAATATAAACCAATATTAATTTTATCATCACCCATTTAAGAATCTTCTTTTAATATAACCAGCAATGATATGTTAATAATGGAAATAAAGGCGCTTAGTAGCTCAGTTGTGTCTGACTCCGCCACCCCATGGACTGTAGCCTGCCAGCCTCCTCTGTCCATGGGAATTCTCCAGGCAGGAATACTGGAGAGGGTTTCTGTGCCCTCCTTCAGGGGGTCTTCCCAACCCAGGGATCGAATCCAAGTCTCCCACATTGCAGGTGGATTCTTTACCATCTGAGCCACGAGGAAAGCCCAAGAAAACTAGAGTGTGTAGCCTGTCCCTTCTCCAGGGGAACTTCCCAACCCAGGAATCGCAGCGGGGTCTCCTGCGTTGCAGAATTCTTTACCAGCTGAGCTACCTGGGAAGCCCATGGAAATAAATAGATAACTAACTAATTAAACATGTTTATAAAGTCCAGTGCAGTTTCTATAAGTTTGCAAAATAAATTTCTCAATAATTCTGTATGTGGTAACTCTAAACACAAAAAAATATTCACTACTTGCATATATATATATATTGTATATATAGAAATCAGTCACAATGTTCATGCCAACAGAAATTAGTAACAATGAAATAACTAAAAGCAGGCAAAATCCAAAATATTGCTATTTGTTGTGGAGATATATACACCATTTGAATATATATATATTTTTTCATGTCCACAGATGTGCTGTAGCATTCATGCTTAGCCTAATATCCATTTCATGCCCCTGTAAACACAGTAGGAGGACAACTAAAAGCATCCCCGGACACCAACAGGATTATCTGGCATAATTTATGAAAAATGTTTGATACTATAGCTACATTTATAAATTGGAGTTTCTACTATCTGTAAAAGCACGTATATAGAAGAGATTGGAAGGGTACACGGAAATGACAATTATTGTTCTGAGCTAGAGTGATTATAGAAAATTTATATTTTTATTATCCATAAATGTTTAATCAATAAGAGGTGACAGTTTGTATAGCATAGAGATGAGCAGGGTCTTATGCTATCAAATGGGAATGGCTTGAATAGTTTTTGCAGTTCGCAGATGTTGTTATAGCTCTACATTCATCATTTCTAACATATAAATGATCAGGCTATATTTCCCTGAAAAAATTACTTTTATTCAGCTAAATTAAACTAAAAGTCTTGCTTAAATTTTTATTGTAACCTTCCAAATAAATTTGTTTCACTTCTGAGAGCATCTTAAATCATTTAAATCACCTTATGACCTGCCCAAACTCATCGGGTCTAAAGCTGCTTAAATGTCTTGAGTGTCCCTATATCATAGAAACCGCTACCTATGCTTTATCTCTGTTACTCTTATAATAAACTCTGAACATTTAATCAATCTGAACCTGTTTGGAATTGAATTCTTTCACCAGCAAATGTTAAGAAACAATTTTAATGGACTTATTTAATGATACTTTATTGAGCATTTGTGAAAGTACATTGGAAATAAAATATTAAAATGATAAATGTATAAAAACCTAATGTTACAGATAATTTTCTTCTCGCTTTGCTTTTTCTAACCAGCACAGGAAGAATTAACATTCACAGTCAGCTGTGCAAATTTCTACAGTCCTAGGCCACTAAAGATGGTCCAGAATTATTTGGCTAGTGTTTACAACTTTTGGATTAAATCTCCTACTGTCTCTCATCTTTTTCCTCTGTTTGCCTCTTGAACAAACATCTTTCAGTTCAGTTCAGTCACTCAGTTGTATCTGACTCTGTGTAACCTCATGGACTGCAGCAAGCCAGGCCTCCCTGTCCAACATCAACTCCCAGAGTTTACATAAACTCATGCCCGAGTCGGTGATGCCATCCAGCCATCTCATCCTCTGTCATCCCCTTCTCCTCCCGCCTTCAATTTTTCCCAGCATCAGGGTCTTTTCCAGTGAATCAGATCTTTGTATCAGGTGGCCAAAGTATTGGAGTTTCAGCTTCAGCATCAATCCTTCCAGTGAATATTCAGGACTTATTTCCTTTAGGAAGAACTAGTTGGATCTCCTCGCAGTCCAAAGGACTCTCAAGAGTCTTCTCTGACATCACAGTTCAAAAGCATCAATACTTCAGCACTCAGCTTTCTTTATAGTCCAACTCTCACATCCATACTTGACTACTGGAAAAACCATAGCTTTAACTAGACTGACCTTTGTTGGCAAAGTGATGTCTCTGCTTTTTAATATGCTTGTCTAGGTTTGTCATAACTTTTCTTCCAAGGAGCAAGCGTCTTTTAATTTCATGACTGCAGTCACCATCTGCAGTGATTTTGGAGCCAAAAAAATTAAAGTCTGTCACTGTTTCTACTGTTTCCTCATCTATTTTACATGAAGTGATAGGACCAGATGCCATGATCTTAGCTTTCTGAATGTTGAGTTTTCAGCCAGCTGTTTCACTCTCCTCTTTCACTTTCACCAAGAGGCTCTTTAGTTCTTCTTTGCTTTCTGCCGTAAGGGAGATGTCATCTGCATATCTGAGATTATTGAAATTTCTCTCAGCAATCTTGATTCCAGCTTGTGATTCATCCAGTGCAGCATTTCCCATGATGTACTCTTCATATAAGTTAAATAAGCAGCGTGACAATGTACAGCCTTGACGTACTCCCTTCCCGATTTGGAACCAGTTTGTTGTTCCATATCCATTTCTGCTGCTTCTTGACCAGGATACAGATTTCTCAAGAGGCAAGTCAGGTGGTCTGGTATTCCCATCTCTTGAAGAATTTTCCAGTTTGTGGTGATCCACAGTCAAAGGCCTTGGCATAGTCAATAAAGCAGAAGTAGATGTTTTTCTGGAACTCTCTTGCGGATGGGAATTTGATCTCTGGTTCCTCTGCCTTTTCTAAATCCACCTTGAACATCTGTGCTATTGAAGCCTGGCTTGGAGAATTTTGAGCATTACTTTGCTAGCTGTTGATTATATTTAGGCTGAACTACTTATATATAATTGATTGTGCTATCCAGAAAACTGAGAGACTCTGTGTTTTTAACACTTATGCCAGGACAACAGGCAATCTGGGACCATCCTGAGTAAATCAGAGCATGTAGTCTTGTCAGCATCTTTTACAAGTTACCCAGCTTACTTGGGCTTCCCAGGTGGTGCTAGTGGTAAAGACCCTCCCTGCCAGGGCAGGAGCCTTAAGAGATATGGGTTTGATCTCTGAGTCAGGAAGATCCCCTGGAGGAGAGCATGGCAACCCACTCTGGTATTCTTGCCTGGAGAATCCCATGGACAGAGGAATCTGGTGGGCTACAGTCCATGGGGTCTCAAACAGTCGGACATAACTGAAGCAACTTAGCACAAAAACTTACAGTAATGTAACCAACATATACTTAAGTGAATTGTTTCACTGAAGGGTGGAAGATCGATGAACAGTTGGCATTTGGAGTTCATTCAGTTGGATTTCCTTTAGAATTTCTCAAGTTGGTGTTACATATTTTATTTACATCAAATAATCCCCTTCCAGAGAGACACAATAAAAAAATCTATCTTGAGAAAGATGTGATTGAAAGGAAAGAATTAAACAGAAAATGTAGCCATTTATTGCCACTTGCTTCCTTTTTCTCATTAGTAAAATTAATAAGTTGAATTATTTGGTCATTTTGATCCCTAAAATGAATGCATTTAGGTAAGCCCAGGAGTCAATGTAAATTTTTATTCATTTCTAATTTAAAAATGAAGACTTCAAAAAAACTTTTTGTAGTCTAGAGCAGTAGTGGGCAAACTGGACCACACAATTTGGCCCATTGCCTATTTCTATGTGGCACCCAAGCTGCGAATGCTTATTATAGGCAGACTTAGCCAATAGAGAACACTAAATATTTAGCCCCAGTTATGTAAATGTGTGGATAAGGAAACAGCAACCCACTCCAGTATTCTTGCCTGAAGAATTCCATGGACAGAGGAGCCTGGTAGTCTACAGTCTGTGGGGTCATACAGAGTTGGACATGACTGAAGTGACTTTGCACCTATGCTTGTAAATTTGATACCTTGACAAGAATCCCATTCTTCTCATTATTATATTGGTTTTCCATTAGTAGATTATTATAAAACAATTTATACTTGATTAATATTCTGATTTGAATCCCTTCAGCCAAAAATATTTGAAAATTTCTTTCTCTTTCACTGCACGAGTTTGATTTTGCCTCTTGACCTACACAGCCTGCAGTGTTTACTATCTAGCTCTTTGCAGGAAAAATTTGTTAACCCCTGATCTATTGATTTTTGCTATCAATTTTGTTTCATTCACAACAACACACACACAACAACAACAATTTCGAGACATGACTTATTAATCATTTGCATTGTCACTGTTTAAATTCAGGTGTGCCCCCGGCTATACCGGCAGCCCAAGCAGCCCCGGAGGCTCCTGCCAAGAATGTGAGTGTGACCCCCTTGGCTCACTGCCTGTCCCCTGTGACCCTGTCACGGGGATCTGCACGTGCCGACCCGGAGCCACGGGACCGAAGTGTGACGGCTGTGAACAGGGGCATGCGCGTGAGGGCATGGAGTGTGTTTGTACGTATACTAACTTGATTATTGCTTCTGGGGGCTTTTTTCCATTTCTCTCATTTCCAGTGAGAAAGACTAGCTTTTTTTTTTTTTCTTATTTTTCAACATTTAGTGTTTCCCTTGTTTTTCAATAGCTACTGCTACTCTTCCTTCTCCTTGTCTGTCTACCTTCTGCTGTTTGCCTGCTGTTTTTGTCTCCATCCCGCTGAGCCAAGAACGGCTGAGAAAATCCTCAGCGTGCTTTAGTCAGTTCATTGAAGACCTACAGCAAAGTTCCCGGAGGCAGATTCTATTTTATTTTGCCCATCTAAGAGTTTGCAGTTTTACCTAAAGCTGACATTGCCTTTGTGACAGATTAAAGGTCTGGGTTTGTTAAATTTTTTTTAGAATCCTCTTGAATTTGTAATCAAATGGACAGGCACTGCAAGCCTTGAAGTACAACTGGCTTTTCTGAGTTTTACAGAAATCCATGGGCATCCTTCTTCTTAACTTTCTCTTGCACTACAGAACCTGGAAGCAGTGACAATGAACTCAAGGGTTTCTACTCACGTGTTTCCTTTGTTTTAATAACTGCTTCTGGATTCAGTAATGACATCCTGAGTTTACATAGACTGTCAGTATTAAATAGAATTCTTAGATCTTATATAATCTAAAAAGGTTATTTATAAATACAGGGAGGACCATTATACTGTGGTATTCTTTTCCTTCAGGAAATTTACAATAGTGGTCTTAATTCTTTATAACAAATATAAGTAGAAATTATTTACGTACTTTTTATTTCAGTATTTACATATTTTAGTGTATTTGCATATGCTTGTATTTCTGGTTTTAACATCTTGTGTGTGTCTAAATCTTAATAACATTTTCACTAGAATTTTTTTTTGTGCTGTAGTTTTATGAGTTACTCCAAAATCTAAGCCTGGCTTTTTAGATCTGCCAAAAGGTAAAGACTGGGTATATTTGGGAATATAATTTTTAAACTTCTTCTTTTCTGTGTATTTCAACAACCTTTGATGAAAATTTATTGCATTTAAAATAAAAATAAATGTCAAGTTTGATGGGAGGAGAGAGATGAAGTGTAATATGTAATATACATTTATATAATCATATTCAGTTATTGGTATATACATATTCACTCTTCTCAAGTAAAATGGCATATTTTAATGATAAATGTATAGACTTCCAGTATAATACAACTAGTTTTAATATTGTTATTAAAGCTAAACTATTAACATGGAAATATTCAACTAAATAATATATATTCATAACCTAAATGCTAATCTAACAGACCTTGAATTTTAAATTAATTAATTTTCTAGGGGTGAGATCAGAAAAATCTGATCTCTTTTTCTATGAGTTCATGGTTCGTTCGCTGTCTATCTTGTTCCATCAATTTATATGTATGTTTTTGTACCAGTACCATATTCTTTTGGTAAATGTAGCTCTGTAGTATAGTCTAAAGTCAGGGAGCATGATCCCTCCAGCTCTGTTCTTTCACAAAATTGTATTGGCCCTTTGAAGTCTTTTGTTTTTCCATACAAACTTTAGAATTATTTGTTCTAATTCTTTGGAAAATACCATTGTATTTTGACAGGGATTGCATTGAATCTGTAGATTGCCTTGGGTAGTATGGTCATTTGAGAAATATTTATTCTTCCAACCCACAAGCACAGTATATCTTTCCATTTTTTGTGTGTTGTCTTCAATTTTTTTAATCAATGTCTTATAGTTTTACAAATAGAACCCTTTTATATCTTTAAATTTATTCTTTTTGGTGCATTTGTAAGTGGGCTTGTTTTCTTAATGTCTCTTCTCATAGTTTGTCTTTAGTGTACAGAAACACAACAGATTTCTGTATATTAAGTTTGCATCCTGCCACTTTACTGAATTCAGTGATGAGTTCAAGTAGTTTTTTGGCAGTGCCTTTAGAATTTTCTGTATAAAGCATCATGTCACCTGCAAATAGTGACAGTTTTACTTCTTCCTTTCCTTCTTTCTAAATCCTTAAGCTAACTTAGAACAAGAAACCGAAGAATGGATTCACCTAGTACATTGATCTGCTGGTCCTGTTTTGTCACATGTGACTATAGTAGAATTTTATAATGCCCATGAGTGGGAGTGGATGAAATAGCTTGATTCTTTCAAGAGAATATTTATGTAGTAAGAAAAGTGTCCTCTGATACAAATAAAACCTTCTTCAGAGCCTGGAGCCCATGTTACTTCACTGAAGAAAAGAGATGAAATAGTGCTCTTAATCTGTAATGACTATAAAAATAAGATGTTTGTCACATTTGATAGAAATAAATTAAAACTCAAATCATTAGTAGCATGTATCATGTAGTTAGTTCTTCTCTCTTTGGCTGATTCTTTAGAAAACACAGTTTAATTTGGCCCACATCATGGCTGTGTATATTTTATTTTTAAAATTCACTGGGGAATGATCATTGCAGTATCTCAGGTGAGCCACATATTGGTAGAAAGAATTTATGTACTCCCTGTAGACTTTATGCTCTTCAGTCAGTCAGTGAGTTCAATCGCTCAGTCGTGTCTGACTCTGTGTCCCCATAGACTGCAGCATGCCAGGCTTCCCTGTCCTTCACCAACTCCAAGAGTTTCCTCAAACTCATGTCCATTGAGTCAGTGATGCCATCCAGCCACTTCATCCTCTGTCAGCCCCTTCTCCTCCCACCTTCAGTCTTTCACAGCATCAGGGTCTTTTCCAATGAGTCAGATCTTCGCATCAGGTGGCCAAAGTATTGGAGTCTCAGCTTTAGCATCAGTCCTTCCAATGAATATTCATGATTGATTTCCTTTAGGATAGACTGGTTGGATCTCCTTGCAGTCCCAGGGACTCTCAGGCGTCTTCTCCAACACTGTATTTCAGAAGCATCAATTCTTTGGTGCTCAGCTTTCTTTGTGATCCAACTCTCACATCCACACATGACGACTGGAAAAACCATAGCTTTGACTATTGCTGCTGCTCTGCTGCTAAGGTGCTTCAGTCGTGTCTGACTCTGTGAGACCCCACAGACAGCAGCCCACCAGGCTCCCCCATCCCTGGGATTTTCCAGGCAAGAGTACTGGAGTGGGTTGCCGTTGCCTTTAGACGGACCTCTGTCAGCACAGTAATGTCTCTGCTTTTTAACACACTCTCTAGGTTTGTCATAGCTTTGCTTCCAAGGAGCAAGCATCTTCTAATCTCATGGCTGCAATCACCTTCTGCAGTGATTTTGGAGCCCAGGAAAATAAAGTCTGTCACTGTTTCCACTGTTTCCATCTATTTGCCATGAAGTGATGGGACGAGATGTCATAATCTTAGTTTTTTGATGTTGAGTTTTAAACCAGCTTTTTCACTGTCCTTTCACTTTCATCAAGAGACTCTTTAGTTCTTCGCTTTCTGCCATAAGGGTGGTGTCATATGCATATCTGAGGTTATTGACATTTCTCCCAGCAATCTTGATTCCAGCTTGTGCTTCATCCAGCCTGACAGTTCACCTGATGTACTCTGCATGTAAGTTAAATTTAAGCAGGGTGATAACATACAGCCTTGACGTACTCCTTTCCCAATTTGGAATCAGTCTGTTGTTCCACGTCTGGTTCTATTGATTATGCTCTTAATTTAATTGACAAATAAATTACCTAGGCATGACCTATGCATGATCATTGTAGTATCTCAGGTGAGCCACATATTGTTGGATAGAATTTATATATTCCCTGTATAGTTTATGCTCTTTATTTAGCAAATAATTTTAATTGTGCTGTAAAGAACACAGAGAAAATGCAGAAATCGTGAAAGAGCTTTCCTTGACCACCTACTTTTCCAAAAAAGACTAGTAGCCGGCACAAATCATTGTCAGTGAGCAAGCTAGGGTTTCAGAGTTTTCTGATGACTCAGTGGTAAAGAATTCACCTGCCAATGTAGAAGTCATAGGTTCGATCCCTGGGTCAGGAGGATTCCCTGGAGAAGGAAAGGGCAATACACTCCAGTATTCCTACCTGGGAAATCCAACAGAGGAGTCTGGCAGGCTACAGTCCATGGAGTTGCAAAAGAGTCAGACATGACTTACCAACTAAACAGCTACAAGAAAGCTAGGGTTTTATTGGCTCCAAAATATAGTAGTGAATTTCTTGCAGGACAAACATTTTTATATATTGACATTCCATTACTATCATGAAGAATGTACACAAATAATCTGTGCCCTTATTAGGAGATACCAGAATTTCTCATAATTATCCAAATTCAACCTACCAACGTTATCAATCCCACCAAGCCAACTAATACTCAGGCATACCTAACCATTGTGTCTGTCTTCACTCTCAGGGATCCCCTAAAGCCTCTTTCACCACACATAGTTCATTACAGTAGTAATTCTTTAGCAGCTCACCCATACTGAGAGACTACCATTTGTTAGAAATGACTCTAAGCAGTTAATTCTTACAACATCCCAACATGTTGCTATGTCCACAGTGTGATTTTTAAAAACCTGAATTTAGATGATTTAAGTCACCTTTCCAAGGTTCACCCTGACCTTTCAACAGAGTTGTGATTTGAACCTAGGTCTGTCTTGCAAATATTACTTTCTTAACCTCTCTGCTGACTATTAATCCACGACACAAAGACACTATATTTCCCAATATAGTCAACATTAATTAATTCAGTTCATTATTCATTTACTTCTTCTGGGCTTAAAGCCCATGTTCCCTCAACAAAGAATAAAGATAAGATGGGCTAAAAAACAAAATGAAAAAAACTTAATATATGTAAAGTCAATAGGTACATACATTTTTTCCCTCTTCTAACCATTGAGACTCTCTAAGATTTAAAACATTGTGGTAGTTATGGTACATTCTTATTCACCAGAAATTGCCAAGTGAAGTCCTTGCAATCCCTCTGTGCAGGTGAAAAGACACGTTAACTGGCACTCAGATTTCTTCAAGGCCTTTGTATTTTTTTCCTAATGAGACTAATTGGAGACAGTTCTGCAGTGTGTTCTTCCTTTCAGATG